ATGTCACCTGGGCATGACACCCTCACGAAATTCTTGGGTAAATCCTTGGAATCATTTCCCCATGACAACCAGAATTAAAGCAAAAGAGTACAGACTAAGGTACTGGATGTGTGCTGGTTTTGTGAGCTTCAAAAGCCACAGAGCTTTCCCACTCTGACAGCTCTGAGAACAGAGACAGAGGGGCTCTCATCATGGGTCAGCTGATGTAACCTAAACCAAGCTAGAGACTCAAGATCCACGTAGTACTATCTTAGCTGTATTACTGGCTCTCAGCCTTTCCTGCTGAAGACCCTGAGGTATAGGACCATGTCTAAGAAAAGGCAAAATCTAGCAAGGTGGTTTATTCCCACCTAACCTGAAAACGCTATAATTTGTTTCACAAGATGCTACACTTCTTTTAAAAATATCCAGTTACACTTTCAAGAAAGGAAAGTACGGTTACAAATTTGGAAGTTGTTTAAGGCGCCAGGAGGTACCCATTATTCTCAGTCAAGATGCTCATGATTTCAAACCCAGATGCACCTGCTGGCTTCAGTCAGTCACTTGCTGACACCTGAGACACAGCTCAAACTAAGCTTTCTCCATCAGACACTGAAGATCCCTAATTTTCACTCATACAAAGTCTTTAAAAAAGACCACAGATTGAAGCAGGGAGATGAAAGGCATGGTAACAGCAGTAACAACTATATAAAAATAACTTTTCTAGATATTTCTGCCCGGGTCTAGATCAAAACTAAAATTGAGCTGTCATGAGCTACAATCTAATCCTTTGGAAAGCAGCAACAGCCGAATAGCACCAGGGCTGCATGAAACATTCTGGTGCTACTGAAACTCAACGCAAGAAAAAATAAAAAATAAAGAAAATGGCATTCTGTGATGGATATTCATGAAGCACTCATCCTAATTTAAAGGAAAACAAGTTTAGAGTTCTTACTGCATTAATTCATGTAAGCCTGAAAGAACATTTTTATCCAAACTGTTACATTTCCTACAAAGGCGTTAACATTCTCCAGGTCTGCTCAGATACACTAATTCTGAGAGGGTGCGATTTGTCTTAGTCAATGCAAAACATCAGAAGCTGCTTCAGAGCTTTCCAAGCAGGAGAGGAATGACCTCTTTACTTGCAATGGTAAGGACTGAGTTATTCAGCTCCTACTGTGTACAGTGCTCTAAGTAAGCTCTTTACTTGATCACTAAATCTTCCTGACAACAATGAGACAATTGTTATAAGTATTCCCCTTTTACAGATGAAGAAACAAACTGAGAGATGAAGAAACTTTCCCTAGTTCACTCAGCTAATTACTGGCTCAGCCAGGACTTGAACCTAGATTTGTCATTCTCAAGAGTCAGAACTCTACCTCCTCTAAGACTTTAAGCTGGGTGTGTTGATGAAAGCCTGTAATCTCAGCAGCTCCAGAGGCTAAGACAGTAGGATTGAAAACCTGAGGATAGCTTGGGTGACTTCACAAGACTCTGTCTCAAAAAAATAAATAAAAGGGTTATAAAAAATAAAAAGGGCTGGAGATAGCTCAGTGGTAAACTGGCCCTGGGTTCAATCCCCAGCATCACACAAACACAAAAAAGCAGGGTTTTTACTGATGCAGAATTCTTAATGATCAACTTCAAGCAGAAAGAGAATTCTCATTTAAGGATGTACTACATGGATAAAGTCAGGCTAAGTCTGACACGGTAATAATTACAAGGTCACAATACATTATACTTCAAATGGTTTGCTGCCATTTCTCTATGAAATGTTCATTCTTTTTACTGTCAGTGAAGAAGGCAAAGAAATATTCCAAATTATTTTTCTTTTTGTTATGGGGTCTCACAAGGTTGCCCAGGCTGGCCTTGAACTCCTGGGTACAAGCAATCCTCCTACCTTAGCCTCCCAAGTAGCTGGGACCGCAGGTGTGTGCCACCATGCCCTGCTAGATGTTTCAAATTCTAATCACAAATTTAACAGCTTTGTTTCAGGTAAAAGGAAATCAACATAAAAATATTAAGGGTGCATTATAGGGGCACTGGACCTGGAAAATACATTATGCTCTGCCTCTTATGACAAAAGGATTAGAAAAGCTCACCTGGAATTGCATTCTTCCATGAGGTTTTCCATGCCATCAACATCAACCAGAAAATAACCATTAGAAACTTAACTGCGTTCAGTTGATGACCTTCACTAAGCTAAATTCAGCAGTTTGTCAGCTACAAAACATTAAATGGACAGGATTAAGAAGTTTGAAAAACATTAAGCAGAATTTAAAGTAAAGCAACATGAAAATTAATGAGAATAAAATATAACTATGGCTTCTAGATTTATGATACTGACATTTTTGACAAGTGCTTCAACTGCAAGGCAGATACAGAGCCATGCTGAAATCTATAACTCAGGGGATACAGTCAGGTAGCCTATGATCACCCCCCCTTGATAAAACCATACCCAATGACAATGTATTAAGCAGTTACTAGGTAATACACATTTTACTACCTTGTTTGTATCTCATTTCATTTAAAAATTCACATGAAATCCTATGAAAGGGTCTTTATCATCCTACATACTACAAATAAAAAATGAAGGCTCAGAGACATCTGATAAATTGCTCAAGTTCACATAGTTAGTAAGTAGCCTTGCTGGGATTCAAACCAAGGTGTGATTCCAAAGCTGATAATCTTTCCCCACATCTTCTGACTGAAGAATTATGACATTTTTCTTTTCCTGTGATCAGGAATAAACATTTTGATGTTTGTAAGATTTCTGTACCCCAAGAATGAAAGCTGAAAACATCCACCTTGACTGGCATTAAACATCAGTTAAACATGATAGATAACACTAATAACTAAAAGAGCTTCTCCCTAAAATAAATGTTAAAAAATTGTTTACCAACAAAAATCAAAAAGTATCTGAATACCTATTAAAAAAAAATACAGCTCCAACATCAGGTACTAGAAGGGCTCTGAGAGAAGTAGTAAAAACCCAGTGCCCTTAAAAAAATCTCCCACTCCATTTGGGACAAGAACAAGTTCAATAACTAAGGAACAAGTGCTAGATCTGAGTGCCACAAAGGCATGGGGGTAGGGCAGTCAGGGAACATGCTCTGAAGGAAGTATATCTTCAGCAGGGACTTGAAGGAAGTGAAATGGAGAATGTGCACAGAGGAGGGGAACAACAGGGGCAAAGCCCAAGAGGCAGTCATGACTTGGCTTCTGCTGGGGCCAGACTTGGAGAAGAAGCAGGGAATAAGGTTCAGGTGGATGAGGTGGGACTAAATCAAGGATAGCCCTGGGCAGATAGGGCACGCAATGGCTGGACACCAATCAGCTTTGAATAGTGGTATAACTACCAATGCCTCCTAGCTGATCCCCTGGCCTCCAGCCTCTCCCTTCCGGTTCTAGCTCACGAACCACCCCTTGTCTCCTGTCGCTCAACAGTGCCCTTAGAATAGTTTCAACTTTGGCCTACTGTTCAAGTTCTTTCTGGAACCAGCCCCAACCAATCTTTCCTCCTACCCCTCTCCTACATGAGCCCTTTTCTGCCAGGAGACTGGTCTAGTCACTAACTCCACAGGATCACTGGGCCTGACTCCTCTTTTCCCATCTGAAGCCTACTCATCCTTTAACACCCAGCTCAAATCCCGCCCCCTCACTAAGCCCTCCCTGACCACTGTGCCTACAGTGACCTCCATCTTGCCTTCTTAATTCTACTGTACACAGCGTTGTCTAATCAAAATTACCTTTTCACAGGTAATGTCTTGGCACCTAATGTAAAGCTATTTGGAGACTAAGTGTGCCTTCAATTACTTTCCCCCACCACATGGAACAGCATCTTGGCATTTAATAAGCAAGAAGGCGCTCAACTATTTTTTGACTTCCTATAGTAAGTTCGGCGTTAGCATAAAGGAAGGATGGGGGAGGGGAAACCTCTGGAGTCAGCGACCAGCTAAGAAACTGTTGCAATAATCCAGATGTGAAGCAAAGAGGGCCTGGACTAGGGAACAAAGAAAAATGGGCAAATATAAACAAAATGTTTGCATGCAAAAGCTCCGAGGAATGCGATTCACTAAAACTAGAGTGAACAGCAAGGGATGAAAGATGATAAAGTGAGGTTGGAAAACGCTGCTTGTAGTCATTTTAAACCTGTGTGAAACAAAAGTGAATTAAGTGGCTAAAAGTGCACATTTGAGGGAAAAAAAAGTCTTCAGTGAAGCTGCCCAGTGTCTTCAACCAGGGACAGCCCTTCCAATTCCAGGCTTACACAGCGTAGCAGCGCTGGAACGGTCTTTATAATCCGAACCCTCCGTTCTCACGTGGGGAAACTGAGGCCCAGCGTGGAAAAGGCTTCCTGAAAGCCTTAACACAAGACTCCCTGACTAGTGCCGCCCTACAGCATGGCCACTTGGCCTCGAAGGACACTGTTTACAGCCCCCGGGCCGGTCCGCCCTCGGAATGGCAAGACCAACTGAGCGCGAGAGTGACCACGGAGACCTCCGGGGCCAAGCACAACCCGCCGCCGCCTGTTTACCTGGAGAAAAGCAGTGGCGTGAGGCAGCCGCCTCTTGGCAGCCCCTCCCGGGGCGACCCCCGGCCGGCCAGGCTCTCCAGGGGCCTCAAACACCCAGACCCCCGCCCCCGGCACAACAGGGAGCAACCCCGGGGGCGACGTGCCCGGAAGCGGGGATCCCGAGACGCCCGGGGCGGAGGCTGAGCAGCCCAGGAGAGCCTCCTTCGCGACCCTCCGCCCGGTCAGCGGCGCCCGGGCTCCGGGGCCGAGCACGGCTGCCCCTTGGGGCGCGCGCCTGGCCCAAGCAGGTGCCCGGGCCTCCGACCCCGCCCGGCCTCGGCTCCCGCCGGCGCCGCCCGCCCACCCGCGGGACTGACCAGGCGCGGAGACGCCCGCCCCGCCGCGCCCAGGGGGAGCCGGACAGCGGCCCAGGGGCTGACCCCCGTCCTGCCGGCCCCGCCCGCGCCTCGCCCACTGCCCGCCGCCCCCGGCCGGCGCGCCTCACCTGCCCTGAGCGCCGCGCTCACATCGCCCGCCCGCGGCGCCCCCTCCGCCGCCGCCGGCGCCAGGCCCGTCCCCGCCGCTCCGGCTGCCGCCCCTGCCCGCGCCCCCCGCCCCCGGAAGCGCTTCTCGGCCCCGCCCACTCAGCGCCCGCGCTTCCGGGCTGGCGTGCCCTGGGCTAGCGGTGCGGCGGCTGGGCCTCTCGGTACCGCCGGGGTCCGGGATCTCGCCAGGCTCTTGCGCTTAGCTGTCGCCGCCGGCTGGCGGGCGGACAAGAGGAGGCAGCCCTGGCCTCGACCTCGGAGTCCCGGCTCCGGGAGGGGCACCGGCTCCGCGGACTGTGGCCTTCCGCCCGCCCTCTCTTCGGCGCCCTCTGCCGGCGAGAGGAGGGCTCAGCCGCGGGGCGCTCCTGGGGCTCCCAGACCCTTGGCCCACCCGCGCTGGGGCTGCCCCTCCCACTGTAGCGCCTCGGGCACCTGCCCGCTGCCCGAGCCGCGCCGGACCGGCAGCTGAAGGCAGTAAGGTGCAGTGGTCACTTGTCACCCCGGGCAGGTTTTCTGTCTCTCAAAACAGACAGCTCGCAACTGGGGGTTATAAAACGCCGGTCACCAAACAAGCCCCAAAGAATGTCCATTTCCAGACCTTAAAGACACCCTAGTCTTCACACTTCCGGAGCGGGAGTGGGAACCTCACCTGGCATTTTTCTCTCAGTTTCAGACGAATTTAGCACCCTTTGAAGAGCTTCCTTTTGCGTTTGGGTGGACTCCTCAGCGTTTGTGGCAGAGATCTTCTTTTTTCTGACTTTGTAACAAAAATAAACTCTAAGAGTCAGAGATACCAGCTTCTCTGCAAGATCAAAAAGTGAGACTTTCTGATGCTACCTAATGCTTTTGTAAAGCATTAGTAGCAACTCTCTCCAGGGTGAGTAGGGGGTCATCTCCCCAAAACGACAGCCACCCTTGGTCAAACACTGTGCCGGACACCGTGTATAGACACTCAAGATACAGCCTTCTTTAATACACAACCCCAGGAGGTAGCAATCTATCGTGTCTGCTTTATTCAGGAGGGAACTGAGGCACAGAGATTGAGTGACTTATCTGAAGTCATACAATTAGTAATGGCAGACATGTATTCAGCTCCTTTTTCTCTAGCTCCAGACTTTCTTATGGCAACAGAACATTTCAAACAGATTTTGAGGTAGGCACCTGGGGCAGACAGACAGACAGACTTGCTCACTAATTGCTATTCCTGAGAATCTTGAGATCTGGCCCCATGTGTGAGATCAGTGGACATGGGGCACAGGACATGCATCATCTGGTCTGACCAGGTTTCCAGGACCCATTGGGCTGATTCACATACCCACATCACTGAGTGAGTTCCTGTTTCCCTACAGACCAGTCCTGGCCTCATCACTTTAACTCATTTTTGCTAAATGTGTTGGTAAGAGTTGGGGTACTCTTGGCCATGATTCAGTATTTGCATGTCGTCAAGGACCATAAAGACCAGAGTGTTCCTAAGTATTTGCCAGGCACCTAAAAGTTGTTGGCCATTTACCACTACAGCTACTGCTTGGCTTTGGCTCACCTTACAAACCTGAGGGTTTGGCTAAACCTACCGTCTGTATTGGAGTCTTTACAGGACACACATAACTCATGAGTATCCCTTAAACAGAAATTGCATAAAATGGTAGGAGTCTCTTCATTCTTGCCCTTCACCAAGACATACTGGTGTGTTCCCTCCACCTGCCTCCTACCTGAGTAGTACTGGGCCAGCAGGGGGAGCCTGCTTCTCTAAACCATCCAAGCCGTCCACTGACCTCTATAATATCCCAGTGGGTGAGGGTTCCTTCCACCAGCCGCCTCTGCACAAGATGGGGGAACATTTTCCTGGTCCAGGAAGAGCCCTCTTGGAGATCCCTTTGGCTTCCAGATGGGTCCCTCCTCCCTCTGACCTGATCCCTGCTGACACCTACTGGTCCCAGATGTCCTTCCCCACTGTAAATTTCTTCCTGGTCTGCTCTCTCCTGTTTTCCTGCTGGTTCTCTGACACTGCCCCTTGAAATTGGCTCTCCTGTTAACTCTGCACTTCTCCTTTGTAGTAATCACAGTGGTAATTGATTATTTGTACAGTTGTGTGCTTAGCATTTGTATCCCTCATCACTAGTCTGTAAATTCTGTAAGGATAAGAATTTGACTTCTTCCCTGCTATTTCTCCAGCACTTAGTACTTCAATATTTGTTGAATAAACAATGAGGAACTACCTGTTTTTGCTTCTGAGTCTATGTTCCTGAGGGAATAGACTGTTTTATTGATCCATTTTCTCTGTATCCTGCAGAGAACCTGTTACTAAATGGGCAGCACTATCCATTTGCTGAATGAAATAATAAATGAATGAATGAATGAATGAATGACRAGATTGAAAAGCCCCATTTAGCTGCATCATGCCTTAGATGGGTCTCTCCATCAGTGTAAATGGTTTCTTGGTACCAGCAGCCTCTATCTTTACCAGATTCCTAAGGATGATAGGCAAGAAGAGAAATCCTTTTCATTTTTATAGGGCATATTCACCTGAAAAATAAGGTTTTTCAGAAAATCTCATGGGTCTCTCTATTCAGTTCCTGCAGAGGACACATCTCCCTGGTCTAAAAGGGTGACTTTGCTTCTGGAGGTTGGGCACACAAATTTATGCAGGACTGGCCTTGACTTTACCTCAAGAGTCATTGACTGCAAGTTCTAAAGCCACGCTCACACATACTCTGGTAGGTACCTATGGTGGTTGTAGTGCTGTGTGCTGATTAAGAGAACTGAGATGCTGGGCACAGTGGCAATGCCTGTAATCCCAGTAACTTAGGACGATGAGGCAGGAGGATCCCAAGTTCAAGACCAGTCTAGCAAACTTGGGGAAACCCTGTCTTAAAATTAAAAAAAAAAAAAAGGACCAGGGATGAAACTCAGAGCACTTGCTTAGCATGTGTGAGGTGCTGGGTTCAATCCTCAGCATTGTTAAAAAAAAAAAAAAAAGGAGGTAGTGAGTGTGCATGTGGAATGAGATGGACATTGTTACCCTAGGTACATGTATGACTACACATATGGTGTGACACTACATCATGTACAACCAGAGAGAGGAAAAGTTGTGCTGCCAGTGAATCAAAATGCATTCTGCTGTCATATATACCTAATTTATTTATTTATTTTAAAGAGAGAGTGAGAGAGGAGAGAGACAGAGAATTTTTAATATTTATTTTTTAGTTGGCGGACACAACATCTTTGTTGGTATGTGGTGCTGAGGATCGAACCCGGGCCGCACRCATGCCAGGCGAGCGCGCTACCACTTGAGCCACATCCCCAGCCCCATATATACCTAATTTAAATAAATAATAAAAATTTAATATGGTGGGAGTAATAGTGTGGAGGATGGAGGAGGAGTCTTTAAAAGTCTTTGGAGTTACTTTGGGTGAATTACTTCATCTTTTTAACTTTTTCTTAAAATGGGGACTAGTGTCACTGAATTTCTTCAATAAAGAAACCATTCTTTATTAAAATTTAAATATTTCTGGAACCCAGGGACATTTCACCATCAAAGCATATATTAAGGGGCTGGGGTTGTGGTTCAGTGGTAAAGCACTTGCTAAGCATGAGTGAGGCACGAGGCTCAATTCTCAGCACCACATAAAAATAAATAAATAAAATAAAGGTATTGTGTCCATCTACGACTAAAAAAATTTTTTTAAAAACAAATTAAATTTGGTCTTTTTTTTTTGCCCTGAATACGGTCATAAAATCAAGTCTGTCTCAGAATCAATGGCCTTCTCTTCTGCAGTATCTTAAGGTGGGCTGCTGTAGTCACATTGTGTTTTCTCACCGGCAGTCAGGAAAGCAAAGACATCTGCCCAGATCTAGCCTGTTTAAAAAGGTGGCTGTGCTCTGAGTGTTACAAGCAGGCAGAAACCCGCTGGGCACACCCTGGATTTCAATGAAGTGAGCAAGCTGCACGTGAAGAGCATTCGTGCCGCCACATGTGTTTAATGTAAAGCCAACATCCTGTCCATCAAACTTCAGACCAGAAACACTGCTTGCCTTCGCTCAGAAGTCAGAGGGCTTTGCAGGATGACTTTGATGACCAAGGCTTTTTGAAAAGATTCCCAGGAAGATGGAACCTCCCCACCCCCCCATGCCCAAGTAAATTCCCCTAGAGCAAATAGTTCCATTGACCTTAGAGGCGACTTCAGGGCTTTCTTCAGAGTTGAAAGCCAGTTAAAAATAAAAGTCATGGCATCTGATTGCTTAAAGGCCTCACTGACAATTTCAAATATGAGGATCTGGAGAACTGGCCTCTCTTTAATTTTTCTCCCTCTTCCCCCCCCCCCGCCCCACCCTTTCTGCTAGTTTTTTTAATTCCTTTTCTGCTTACAGCAGAATCAGAATGGAGAAGAGCCCTTCAGGAATAGAATCCCAGAAATTGGAGAGGAGGGGGGAGGGTCCATATTTTGTTTTTCTTTTAATCAACTTTAATAAGGTAAAATGAGTCTTGACCAATATCTATATTTGTTCACTGCCACCAAGACCTCTGCTTTTTTGAGTCTTGCCTTTCTTCATGGCTGAGCATGAACAGGGCATTCTGCATCTGATATTGATCCTGCCTCCTAGGGTCCCCGCTCATCCTCACTTTAATAGCAGAAATAGTAACTGGGGGAGTCCTAACAGGAGAGAAGAGGTCAGCACGCTGCAAGCAGAATCAGTTGGCAGAGGAGCTATGTAGTGCCCGGGAGTCGTGAAAACTACTGTTGCATATTTATTCATTTGACAGATATTTATTAAATGTGTAGTAAGTAACAAACATTGCTCTGGGTGCTGAAGATTTAGAAGTGGACAATAAAAACAAAAGTCATGCTCTTAAGGAGTATATATGTCACTGTGCTTTCATGGAAAAGAGAAAAATAAACTGTCAACATTGTGACATAGTAGATGGTGAGACGGGCTATGGAAAAATAAACAGGAAGAAGGGAAAGGAAGAAGAAAA